TCGGAGTAAGGACGCTCCATTTGGTTGACAGGGGAGTCCAAGACATGGATGGTCGGTATCGGTGGAGGGGGTTGGGCCTCCGGTATCGATACTGTTGTTGGAGCGGGAGGCACTTTAGGGGCATCACCCAGTGCAGCCATCACTACTTTCCCCTTCTTTGCTGACTTAAGGGGTTTGGAAGAGCCCTTCTTTGTGGACGTTTGCTCCTTACTTGGCCTGAACTTCTTTTTCACCGGTGTGGAAGCGGAGGATTGCGTCTTCGATGCCGGAAGCTTCGGCGTCGGTTGGCCGATATCTGAGGCAGGCCTTGATGCTGGAGCTGTTGAGGTAGATGGTTTCTCAGCATCCATCGCTGAGGAAGGATGTAGGGCCGACTCAAGCAGGGCCACTTTATGGCACGCAGCTCTGTTTTTCCGGGTCTGGTTTGAAAACCGAGCACAGTGGCGACAAGATTCGGGTCAATGAGACTCTCCAAGACAAAGTATGCAAAGGGTACGACGGTCAGGAGGAGCAAGTTTACTACCGCAACCCTTGCACCTATTAAAAAAGTCCCACTTCTCCATAAAAACCAAAGTGAAGAAGAAAGAGGGGGGGGGGTAGCCCGAAGGCCCGACTGAGGTAAAGCGGCAACCTCCCCCTCAGCAGAAAATAAAGTTTTTTAAAAAGTTTTTGAAAGAACAACGAAGAAAAAGAATGAACTGAGGGGAAAAAATCCAAAGAGCCGTGAGGCAAAAAGCCAAAACACGCGAACTGATCAGACTGACAAAGAAAGAGGTCTTTCCAATGCGGCGGTAAGAAAGGAACTGGCGGGATGTCCGCGCCCACCTCTCTGGGCATGCGCGGTGGGGTTCCTGTGCATGCCTGAGGGACTGGGCACGAAAATCCGTTAAAGAGCTTGCTACAATGCCGATCAATCCAGTGCGTGCGCACTAGATCCCATGGGTGTGAAGCACAGAGACCACGTCGAAGATCTGCAGCACTGTGTTTTTGATCTCCAAATGCATCTTCAGCTCAAACTTAACCTGGCAAAGGGGGGGGGGAGGCTGCAGAATGAGTCACATGACAGCCTGCTTCCTCTCTTTGGACAAGTTCTATTTAGTGGGTCTGCTGTTGTCTACCCCCAGCTTTGCAGCTAGAATCTGGACTGCCTACCATCTGCTTCTTAGGCTCCTCCTACTTTCCATCCTCTCTGCTAAGGCATACACAGTAGCTGCACCTTGGCTGCAAGATGACAGCCAACATCCACTCCTCACTGGCAGTGACCAATGGGAAGGATTTGTTGTCCAGCTGCAGTCCAAAGAGTTAAGAGGCCATCTGAGTAATCACACGGCTCATTCTACAAGCACCTCCTCCCAGCAGCCTGAGACTGAACTGTGTATTAGGCCACGTCTGATCCAGGTTTAGTTTGCATATCTTGTTCCCCTGCAGCAATACTCCCATTTCTACTTGGCTAAAAGAACTGAGAGATCAGTTTTCTAACAGGTAGTGCTCCCATGTTCCTGCTCATTAACCTGTTATTCAAACGAGTGTCTTGGAGAACTGGCTTTCACCATGCATGGATGGTTCAAATTTGTTGAGGGAGGTGGCTCCTGTCATACTAGGTTGTCTAATTTTTTTTTTTAGAAAAATGGGCATGAGACCAGCTGTGGGAACAAGGCATGGTACAAACCCATCCACCCTTGCGGGCAACAAGACAGGTTGTGGGTGCTCTGTGAAAGGCAAGGAAGGCGCTGGCTTTGCTGCCTGCTCTGTATTGCCCCCCTCCCCCCTCTTGTGAGACTGTTTCAGGGAAGGTTTATCAGTAGATTTCTAGAATTAAAACTGTGTGATCTCAACCCTCTCCGGATGCTAGAGTGACTGCTACCCAATCACTCTCAAACCTAGAAGATCCCATAAAGTATCCCATGGAGTATGACTGCGACTACTCATTGGGGAAAGGTGCTCTACACCTGGTCAGAAGTTATTTCATATTTCTAGAATAGAACCATAGCACTGAAAGCAGACTCTAATACTAAACTCTCCTGGGCCCTGTCTCAAATTAAACTTATCTTGGCCTATGAGGCTGATATAATCAGGTAAAGAAATTCGTCTGGGGGGGTAAGGAAAAGACATGTTTCTATATAACATTTGAAATGTGTGCATTTGATGAGTGTGTGTTTCGCAACAGGCATGTGTTGCCCTAAAATGCATGGATTTGTTCACTAATGCCATGTGGTATGGCTTTAATTTTCATATGCGAGATACAGGAGCTCAACTTCGTTTGGAAGCCAAGCCTACACTCTCTTATCATGGGTGTGTACATGCAGCTTCTCAACGGGGCACTTTGCAAGTGTTTAAAGATATGTTTTATTTACCTTTAAATAAGTTCAATAGTCATGGGATAAAAGGACAAGTCCTTTTGTGGATCAAAAACTGGCTAATTAATAGAAAACAGAGAGTGAGTATAAATGGGAAATTTTCTCAGTGGAGGGTGCTAAGCAGTGGGGTACCGCAGGGATCAGTACTCAGTCCAATGCTTTTTAACTTGTTCATTAATGATCTGGAGTTGGGAGTAAACAGTGAAGTGGCTAAATTTGCAGATGACACAAAGTTGTTCAGGGTGGTGACAACCAGGGAGGATTGTGAGGCACTCCAAAGGGATCTGTTGAGGATGGGCGAGTGGGCATCAACGTGGCAAATGGGGTTCAATGTGGCCAAGTGCAAAGTGATGCAAATTGGAACCAAAAATCCAAAATATAAATACACAGTGATGGGGTCCGAACTGGCAGAGACTAACCAAGAGAGAGATCTTGGAGTCGTAGTACATAACTCAGTGAAAATGTCGAGACAGTGTGTGACTGCAATAAAAAAGCCCAACGCTATGCTGGGGATTATTAGGAAAGGAATTGAAAACAAATAAGCCAGTATCATAATGCCCCTGCATAAATTGATTGTGCAACCTCATTTGGAGTACTGTGTACAGTTCTGGTCAACACACCTCAAAAAAGATATTATAGCGTTGGAAAAAGTGCAGAAAAGGGCAACTCGAATGATAAAAGGGTTGGAACACTTTCCCTATGAAGAAAGTTTAAAGCGCTTGGGGCGCTTTAGCTTGGAGAAATGACGGCTGAGGGGTGACATGATCGAGGTTTATAAGTTTATGCATGGGATAGAGCAGGTAGAGAAAGAAGTACTTTTCTCCCTTTCTCACAATACAAGAACTCGTGGGCACTCAGTGAAATTGCTGAGCAGTCGGCTTAGAACAGATAAAAGGAAGTACTTCTTCACCCAAAGAGTGATTTACACATGGAATTCACTGCCACAGGAGGTGGCGGCGGCTTCAAGCATGGATGGCTTCAAGAGGGAATTAGATAAGCATATGGAGCAGAGGTCCATCAGTGGCTATTAGCCACAAGGTATAGGTAGGAACTCTCAGGTTGGGGCAAGTGATGCACTGTATTCTTGGTGCTTGGGGAGGGGGGCAACAGTGAGAGGACTTCTAGTGTCCTGGCCCCACTGGTGGACCTCCTGATGGCACCTGGTATTTTTGGCCACTGTGTGACAGAGTGTTGGACTGGATGGGCCATTGGCCTGATCCAACATTAGCTTTCTTTCCCAACACACTCAGCACATAATACTGCCATTAACCCTCAGGGCTCCTGCAACGATGAAAACTCCTGGCCATTCTAGGGAAAGGAACCTCTCTTATTCTAGAACATGAGCGCCCCATAGACTATCATGGATCTTGCTTTGTTGAAAGTCCTCATAATTTCCAAAAACTCTGTTTCAAGAGCAAAAGAGAGTACTGTTCAACCTACAGAGACTCATAGCATTACTTGCTTTTGAGGGATTAAATGTAAAGGTAATCACCACTAAAGCTGTGAGCTGCACACACAGGTCTGACCAAAGATTACCCAGTTGGTTTTGGAATTAGCTCCAAGTGCAGGCAGGGTTTGGACTGCTGAAATGGAAAAATCCTTCCCAGAAGGCATAAGGAGGTCCTCTGCAGAGAACCTCTTTCAGGTTAGAGACTTCAATGCAAGACAGTTGGTGGAAAAGAAACTGGTTTCTAGGAAGCCTGTCTCTCTAGCATCAGGCCTCTATGATGTCATCAAGCAGGGACCTTGGGACTGACAGAGCCTGAGGCAGTGCATTTTGGTGGAGCAAGAAAGAGCCCGTGCGGCTCAACAGCCATCTTTGCCTTGGTGGCCTTTAACGAACTGTAGGTAAAAGTGGAGGGGAAGGGGGATGGAGGCAGAGAGTGAAAAAACACGAGCCAGAACTCAGGACAAAGAAACATTATAGTCAAGGAAGAAGAGCAGCCCTTTCCAGGCAACCACAAGAGGTACTGCCTGTTTTGGCCTACGGAGGACACACCTTTCAGTGCAAGCTGGGAAGAAGTCTGGTCTCCTCTCCATTACAAGCAAGAGGCCCTTATGGAGCCTGGCACCTTCCCCTGGAAGTGCTATTGCTCTCACAACTGGTTTAGAAGAAGAAGTAAAAAGATTGGATTTATACCCCACCCTTCATTACCCAGAGGAGTCTCAGAGCGGCTTACAAACTCCTTTCCCTCCCTCTCCCCACAACACACACCCTGTGAGGTGGGTGGGGCTGAGAGAGCTCTGACAGAAACGGCTCTTTTTCAAGAACAGCTGTGCCAGAACTATGGCTTGCCCAAGGTCATCCAGCAGGTGTAAGTGGAGGAGTAGGGAATCAACCCGGTTCTCTCAGATTAGAGTCCGCACACCTAACCACTACACCAAACTGGCTAGAGGTGTGATGGGACTGTGGGGCTAGAGGTTTAGAGGTGTGATGGGACTGTGGTGCCCAGCTGGCCACAGCCTCCGATTACAGTCTCCGAAACATCAGGGCAAGATGACCTCTCTGCTTGCAGCACAGGAGTCTTGATTCAGTTGTTCCTTCTAACACAGAACTCTGCAGTTTGAGGTGGGCATATGCGCAAACAGGGAAGCAAGTGGGAAACTGTGGTGCTTGCACCTGCTTCCAAGGACAGAACTTACCCTCTAGCTTGTTGTCTGCATCCTCCTCTATATTACGGATTTCCCTCTGCTCAGGTTGGGCAGGTTCTGGCTGCTCTGGTGGCAGTGGCTCTTCCTTTTCACCTGCAAATGAGGGATAGACAGCTGTCACTGGATGAAGCAAGAAAAGTGAGAGGTGTTCTCGGCTTCCCCCTGCCTTGCCCTCAGCTCCGTATGCAGTTCCTGTCCAATCTGACGTCTGCAGGAGTAGGCATAAACATATTTAACACCATTAGAGCCTGCTGGGAACAAACTAGGGCTTGCTGCTCAAACTGAATAAAATACAAGTCCAGCCCCTACAGAACTTCTGCAGGGGGCACTTAACAATGTGACATCTGTCGAGCACTTTCAAACTCAAGACACAGCACCAGATGCAAGCAAACAACTGTGCAACAGATATCACAGGATCTGACCCTGCTAGGAGATTCACTGTCTTGCTTTTCCACAAGAAGCTGTGCAACTACTAGAGTTGCCAACTCCAGGAAATACTTGGACATTTGGGGCTGCAACCTGAGAAGGGCAGGGTTTGGGGAGGGGGAGGGCCTCATTGGGTTGGAACGCCATAGAGCTCAACCTCCAAAGCAGCCATTTTCTCCAGGGGAACTGATCCTGTCACCTGGAAATGAATTCTAATTCCAGGATATCTCCAGGCCCCACCTGGAGGTTGGCAACCCCAGCAATCACACACTGCTAGTTATAAGGAAACTTGGGCTGCAAACGAAAACAAGAGCCCCCCCCCCCAAGAATTGTTTACTGAAAGATTCTAAACCCCCTTGCATAAAAATACATATTTTATAAATGGCATTGTTACAGAAGCAATGTCTGTTTACTTCACTTGGGATGTAGAAACTGTGACGTTGCACTGTAAGAGAAGGCTTGATTTTATTTTTTCTTAAGCAAAGGAATGGGATAGTAAGAAGCAGGGCAAGAATCCGGTACACGAGAGGCACTGGAGTTGAAAGGTCACAGGCCAGGCAGCGAGAAGGAGCTGGCTGCTCATTGGGGAATGACTTTTAAGACTCTCCTGGCTGCAGGAACCTGGCTGTGCCTTCAGAAGCTCAGGATGGGCCTGGCTCAAGAATGAAAGTGCACCTGTAGCCAGTGGTATGGCAAGAATTCCATGACCTAAGCCAAATACTGCAACTCTTTGTATTTTAGCATGGAATCACAAAATCTCGGCAGCCCAAGGAATAAACAAATTTCTCCAGGAGCAGAAGGACAGTTGAAAAACGTACCAGGTTCATTCTCCTTCTCAACAGATTTCACTCCTTCCTTGGCACTGTCCTTCACATCCACAGCCTTGTCTCTCCTCCTATTGTGACTGTCCAGTTCCAAGTCTTTGTAAGGGGGCCGCTCATCCTCATGTGCAGCCACCTCTGGCACGGGCTTGGGGTCTTTCACAGGATGTTCCTTTAACTTTTCCTGGGCACTGTCTTCCTTTGCTTGTTCAGGAACTGGCTTAGGCTGTGCCTGCTCCTTCTCCAGCACAGGTTTCCCCTCTACCACGACATCCTTGTGGGCTGGTGGATGTTTCTCTTCTTCAGGCTCCTCATGGTCCTGACCCTCATCCACCACCACCTTATCATGTGGCACTGGTGGCTCATGGCGGTGGGCTTCTCCTACAGGGAGAGCAATGCCTACAGGGGAAGAAAGGAGACCAATGGGACTTGCAATCTTTTATCTGGCTGTAGACTAAAGTAAACAAGAACTAGAAACAGGAAGACATGTAGAATTGGCTTAATCTCCTTGCGGAGGCCACCAGTGTGTTCTCCACCTTCAGAACTCCCAATCGTAACGCAATACTACCTTGATCAGGCCGGTCCAGCTGCACTTCCTCCTTCAGTTTTTCCTTCTCATCTCTCTTGGGGACATCAATGGGAACCCTGATCTGCGGCTGTTCCATTTCTTCTTTCTCATTCTCTGCTCTGGGCTTGTCACGGTTATCACCCACTTTTTCCACTGCTAGGTTCTGGTCTGAAAAGCATGGACACCATCTACATATTATATAGGAGAACTACACCTGGCTCTCCCACCCTCTCTTTAAAAAAAACGAAATTCAGCTATCAATTTGATTTGCATTGTGGTGCTAGGGTTGAAATCCTTTACCCACAACAATACTGTTGCCCAATGTAAATCACACTTCCCTAAGCTGCTATGGGGCAAACTGCATCCTGAAGGAGAGACGAACAAGGTCCAAGGAAAGGGTTAAGCAGCCCCTTCCCCAGCACCTCTTCTCCCTGCAGCCGCATTTCATTTGAAAAAAGAATAAACATCAGGGAAATCCGATCACAGATTTCCCTCTTCGATGCACCCTTCAAAACTAATACCGCAGTTTGGGGACATGTGGCCACTAGATGGCAGCATTGCTCTTGCTTATTTGCATTCCATAGCAAGGGTGGGACTATCACACATGCAAGGCCAAAGGCATTCATTTCCCTGGTAGGGATAACAAGCAAGAGTGAACATATTAGGGGGTCGGCTGCAAGGAAAGGGCAGAGGCTGCAGGTGAGAGAATCTAGAAAAGGCAACGAGGAGGGAAAGGACCAAAAGAGTCCGGAAGGCCATGGCAGAGAAGCAGCAGATAAGAGCCTCCTCATTTCCATCTCCTTCTACAGAAGCAACAACATCTCTTGAAGAGACCTGGGCAAAGAACAGACTAGATGGTTGAACAAAGGAGGACAGAGCTTCAGGCTTTTCCAATGAATGACATCCTACTTTCAAGCAAGTGGGAGAGTGTCCCTGCCTGCTCTCTAGAGGCAGGGAAGCATGTGGGGCACAGCCACCTTACTGGCAGCGGCTCTTGCCGAACCACTGCCTCACTACACCCTCCAGTGTTGTCCCATGAAAGCAGCGGATATTTTTACAACGGAGATGTCGGGAAAGAGCAAACAGATGAGATCTTGTTTCCTACATTACTAGGGTCCTCTATTATGGAGGAGCCTGACGGAAGTTTCTTTGCAAGAGAAACAGAGCAGCTCAAACTGTTCCCTCACTTCGGGAAGCTGAAATCACACCAAGTACTTCCTGCACAGTTAAGTCTGAAATAGTCATTTTCACACTTTCATGAACACCTCCCTCCACCTTGTCCCATTCTCACTCTCCTCCTCCTGAGAATCAACTCTGCCTACGGCTGCCCTCCCTCACAGGGGGAGGTGCTCTCCAGGAGGCAGAAGGCACTTGGAGAGGAAGGGAGGAGGCAGGAAACACCCGCGAGGGTGCCACGAGCCTCTGGGGTGATGGAAAAGCTGGCCCAGGTACAAGAGGAAGTCAAGCAATGTGGAGTAATGGTTAGTAGAAACCAAGGGGGGGAAAACACTGAACCTAACAATGAACTCCAAAACCAAGCAAAGGTTAGTGAAAACCAATATTAAAACCTTTCCATAAAAGATTAAAAAGCGGTACATGTATTTATTAATAATAATAACAAATTTTAAAACATATATAGAGGCCCATTTACAACCAGTGTATATAAAATATAACAATATCAAGGGCTTACAAAGTTGACCTTACGCGTTTCGGCCAAATAGGCCTTCCTCAGAGGTCATACATATGTGGCAAGATGGTTAATAATTATTTTCACATAAACACAATCAGAAATATATACAAAGTATAGATTCAATGAGGACCATAAAGTAAATTGTTCAAAAGTAAAATCACCAGGCACAAGGTAAATATGCACATAAGACCTTTAAAGTGCATTCACTAGCCCAGTGATTATAAACTTGTGGTCCAAAAATTTCCTTCTTTGATTGTGTTGCCACAGCATTCATAAGTAAAAAGCAGTGCTTTTCAAAGAAGGCCTCTATATATGTTTTAAAATTTGTTATTATTATTAATAAATACATGTACCTCTTTTTATCTTTTATGGAAAGGTTTTAATATTGGCCCTCCTTTTCACTAACCTTTGCTTGGTTTTGGAATAATGGTTAGTGTCAGGACTAGGGAAAGGTAAGCCAAAGTTCAAATCCCCTCTCAGCTTACGCACCTCAATGGGTGACTTGCATCAGTCACTCTCTCTCAGTCCAACCTACTTTGTGGTCTGGATAAAACGGGGGAGGGGGAGGATAGCGCATGCTGTTGTGAGCGGTGTGAAGGCAGAGTGGGATAAAATAATGCAAATAGATGGGGAAGAGATATAGAAAAACGGGGCTTTGTTTGTAAGAGGGAATCTGGTTCCTTCTCCCTCATCCCTAAGGAAATGGACAGAGATGTGTTTGTGGATGCATGCATATACGAAGATACTTGACTACACGTGCACTGATTGCTGTGGCGTGAGTTCTATGCCAAGAAAGCTGGATTCTACAACAGGCATAAACCACATGAAGCAAACTTTTAATGATATTAACAATGTCTAACCCACCTTTCAACTTTAAAAAGCTTCAAGGCAGCTAGCAAAATAAGATAAACAGTAAAAAACCCAAAAGCTTTAAAACAGAAGTTAAACAAAAATTATCAAAAACTGGCAGAGCAACACAAAGACAGTAAGCAATATGAAAACAACTCAACCATCAAATGCCTGGAAGAATAAAAATGTCTTAACTTGGTGCCTGAAAGCTAACAGATAAGGCACGATTCAGACATCTGTGGGATGGGAATTTCCATAGAAAAGGTCCTCACCCAAGTCAACACCAGTTTAACTTCAGAAACGGGGCGGAAACACCTGGTAATGTGCTTCTGAATTTATTACCAAAAGATGAGCATTTTCATTTGGGAACACACCATTCCTTTGGCTATCCTGGTCCAAAGTATTTGGAGCTCGAAAGGTTGTGGCAATGACTCTGAAGTCTAATTGGAAAAACTTTTTAATTCTAGCACAGTGAGGTCCAACCAGACAGTCCCTGTCCATAGGTTCTGTTCTAGAGGTGCCACAGCAAATGTGCCAGCCTGCACTTGGTCCTAGCATGGGTGCACAACCCAGTAAACAAATCATATAGGAGCTCTTTTTGCATAATTTATTCTGATTCTGCTAGCCATGAGAGGGGGCAAGGAATTATAAAAAGTACTCATATCCTGTCTATTTGCAGAGATCCTGGTTGACCCGCTTGTAAGAGTCAACTGACAGAGGGAGAGGCCTGTGATTGAACTCCAGTGAACTTTTTTGGGGGGGAAGTGAAAAGCAATCATTGGTATGGGGAGAAACCAGGGCTGTGGCACTGGGAGGGAACTTTTTTAAAAACAACAACAGGGCTTTTCATGGTCTAAATTGCCCCCTCCATTGCAGCTGCTATATGTACCACAGGGGAAAGCATACAGGCACCACGAGGCACAGACTACAGAGATCTAAATGAAGAAAATGGCACGAGGAAAAAAGTTAAGCATCCCTCCCTCAACACTCCCTCCCAACGTGATTCCCTCCCCCATGACTGCTTTAAGTTTAAAAGAAAATAGGGAGAGAGGCTATATCTGATTTCTTGCTGTCTCACTGAGGTAGCTACTTGTGTCTGGGGGATTCACATAATTGAGCACTCCCCATAACCCCCCCCCCCTTTAAATTTTGCCAGGTCTCATGATAATTAGACAAGACGTTTTCATAGGAGGCCTTTCTACTTCAGCCCTCACAGCTCAGATACAGTTGTGCCACCTCATAGAGAACTAGGCCTTAGGCAACAGGAATCAGTGGTCAAAGCCATGGCACAATAAGGGGGAAAGTATCTGGCAAGGCACACAGTGGAAAGGCTGCTTGCTCGGAGGAACAGACTGCTGTGGCTGCTCTCTCTGCTCTGCAGTCTGGAATCGTATCTTTACCCTTACAGAGTTCCAGATGCTAACAAAATGGATGAGAGGAACCAAAAATATACAAGATAGCTAGAAATTGTCCAGAATGGTGTGGCTTCAGGATCGCCGGGGTATTGTCTGCAACACTACTGGCCCCTTGGCAAGGCTAAATCAGCAAAACCAGCCTGGAAAGAGCTTGTGGGTCAGGTGACACAGGCAGAATCTGAAGATGACTGACTTTTCGGAGCCCAGCATGAGTTACTCAAGAGATCCCGACTTCACTGCTTAGAGCAGAAAAAACAGGCAGTTCGGCCACCCTTGATACGCAGCAGCTTTCACGGCAGCCATGAAGAGCTATAAAAGAGGCAACAGGCGTCCCCATACGCACAAGACTCGCACACTACAGGAGCAAGCCCAAAATATTTTGTGCAATATCCCGCCTCTGTAGATGTTTTCCCAACCTCTTTTTGCTCTTATGTGAGACCAGCACGATTTGCCATTGATCCTTCTAGAGGGCTTTGTAACTGCACAGTGGAAGAACGCTGCAATTTCAGCTGCACACGACTCAGGGGAGTTGTGAAACAGAAGAAATGCTCCAGGACTGGAGCCTGGCATGGCAACTTGCCCAGAACATGGGTGAATCTTTGCCCTAGAGCACAGTGCCCTTCTGCTGCAGGAGATCCTAGAGATTTAAACCCTGGCTCCAAGTCAAGGCCTCTGTTAACATACTGTAGGTCAAGGGGTGAAGTAATAACATCAGCCTCCCCCACCACAAGGTGTCAGATGCTGCAGGTCATACCTCTTGCATGCTCTGTTGTGTTAAGCAGAAACTCAGCTCACATTCCCCATGGAACTGCAGAAAGAGGACCTCTAAGGCTCTTCTAAAGCACTCTGCTTTCTTCAACCTGAAAGCCCAACTTCAGCAGTCAGAATACGTTATGCAAATAGAGCTCAAATGGCTGCATTTCCATACTTTCTTCTGGTCAAGCAGTTTGTCAGCTTTCCTCCCCTGCCTACTCAACATAAAGCTGGTGAAAGTACAACAATGTCTGGACTGCAACAGAAGTGACTGGCAAGAGGACAGGCACGGGAAGTCATAGGGCGGAAGCAGAGGTCATGCAGAGAACAGGAGCCTGGCTCTCTTATCTCAGGAAGCCATGGCTCAGTAAGTCTCAAGGGATGAGGACCACTTTGCACAGGACACTTTTCTTATTACAGATGCCACCATGTATGAAAACACCCTGTCATCCTTTAATTAC